CCCCAAAACCCCAAAACCCCAAAACCCCAAAACCCCACTACTCTGTATTTGATAAAATAGAAGATTAATTATAAAAATTAAAAATCATGGTTTATATTAGAATTCCAGAATTCAAGTCAGGCGTCTATCCTTCATAGCTTTCAAGATTCAGTCCCAATAATTACACGCGTATTCTACCCTTATTTGTATTCATCACCTGATTTAGCTTCTGAGAAGATGCTTTTAACTAGAAATAGAATTTGGGGTAACATTATAGGTGGAAATGAAAGATCAGGTAAGAAATTATCTATACACTCTCAATCATTTCAGAATTATTTGCTCTATATTTTGACATTAAACTTGATTATAGGATATAAGGAGTTGAAGAAAGCATTAATCGGACCTGCTCGTCTTAATTGGTACAAATTCCACGAATTAAATTTGATTTATCCCTTCACTAAGGAATGGGACAAGAGAAATGAGTTAAAGGAGAAGCATTAGGAGAGAAGAATGAGAATCTTCATGAGAGGAGTGAAAATTGGAAGCAAGAAGGGAGGCACATAGATCACTACCATGTCTATCTTTGAAATGCAGAATAAAAAGAAAATTAATGATCCAGTAGCTGCTCAGAAACTACAAGAAGAGGCTGCAAAGGCTGGATTCACTGATGATAGTCTAGGACTCACTTCAGATGCATGATGCATGAAAGTATGATCTTAAGTAAAGTTTATTGAGATGAAATAATTTGCTTTTAACTTAAGTTGTTACTTTATAAATTCACTCTATTTATTTTACTTTTAAAACTAACATTTATGAAATTAATAATAAAGTAAATTTAAACTGCTGATATAGATTTATAATCACTCTAGCGTTATATAATTAAGCTATCATTATTTATATAAAATCAACTTAACTGCCTCACGAAATTGACCTTTGTTCTTATTAATACTATATAAATTATGACTCTTTTCTAAAAGGGGTATGCCTACTTTAGCTTAGATTACTTCTTTCCATAATTGATACATCGTCCTGCATGGATACATTCCACTGTTCAAAATCACCACTTTCATTCTTCTTCATATTTTTGCCTTCATCAATACTGCTGCCATTAATAGTTTAGCCCTCGATCCTAAATTGAGTTTACTTTAAATCCCCCTTATTTCGACGATTGATTCCGTTTATATTTCCTATGCCTTTGAGACTATTGTAAAAGCTCTAGCCTAGTAGCATAAACTCATTAGAATTGCAATTACTTAGTCGCTCATTACTATTATCCTTAGTAAAAGCAACTCTTTTTTTATTGAATAATTGGATATTGCTTTGAAGTCTTCTACTATACAGTTAGTTGACTGCATCAAAGTGATCTTTCCTATCCTATAGGTAATTTGATGGTACTAGAGCTTATATCTTGAAGTTAGCAGCTTTTTCAGGGTTAAAGAAATTAGTTTTGAGCATTTCCTTGCCAGGAGACTTTGCTTTTAATGGTTATTTTGTGAAAAATTTCTGGCCTTAGGTTTCATGGAAGTTTTTTTACTCGACAATATTCTTCAATTTATTCAAATTATTCTTAGATCTTATGTCCATTGAGGAAGGTGAATATATCTGTTATATGTTGCTCTAGTAATCCATAGGGTAATCTTGATAGGTATGGTTGATGCTTGCTACAACATTGTTCCTTCACTTATTCGTAGTACTATTGCTTTGAAATTAGAGATGTTGATTACTGGCATACGAAGCAGCAGAAGGACTTAAAAAAGTTTAAAGATCATCATTAGATAGTTTCTCTACTCTTGTCAAATTTCTGGTGTGCTTGAATTTCTTGCCAAGTGCCCTTGTGTTGCTATCCATATTAACTATGTTTTAGATTCAGAGAGAAGGTAGCTGAATCTGCCCATTTTCATCTTGATTTTTATCTAATATTTATCTCATCATATCTGGTGATATAAGCCTCTTGCGATCTTCATTAATCTACTTATTCTGCTTGATTAAAAAGTCTAGCTTTGTCGCTCACTTGATGTAGGAACTAGAATTCATTAGTTTGAGATTGTCTTGCAATCGTAGCTACTGCTTGTCCTCTTTTTCCTTCAGTAACAACTTAGTCAACTCGTTGTCCTTGAAAGTCATATGAAACTCATTCAAAGTCTTCTGCTTCTTTTTAAAGGCATAATATGCTGTAGCATTACTATGCTGTCTTGAGCTGAACTAATAGCGGAGAGGAGTGAATGACTTTGGGGACATAACTCGCTCATTTTCCAAGGCTTTCTATAAGTAGAGTGATATGTAATTGATCGTTAGATTTGATTAATTAGGTTATACCAGCTTAGGGATTGACTTTTGCTAGGGCTGCACTATTGCTGCTGTAGAAATTATCATTTCTAACTTTAATTCTTTAAATATATAAATATTAAAAAAGCATAGAATATTTTAAGAAAATTAAATTCATTTAGTTTATTTGACTTTAAGAATAATAAGTTGAATTAATTGATTAACTTCTATGCAATATGCTAAGACTCTATATAATTCACACATTATTCAAACATATTATACTTGCTCATTTCTATTCCTCATTTTACTCATACTTCCTCTTCCTCGTTATTTTCTATTTAACCAACCTTATCATTATTATTTTCATGCGTATTGTTATTCTTGCTCCCATAGGATTTTTTCAAAATATGATCTCTGTTATTAGGACTCTTATCATCTAGCAGCAGAGATTGTCTCTGAATGTCACTCTCAACTATGATACCTCCATTTATCGCAAATCTGCCGTCATCATCTACATCATTGTGAAATGTATAAACCTGGTCGTTATTTGTCCCTAGGGGAATATTTCTAAACTCCTCTTGAATGTTGATTACTGTTTTATTCTCAACATGAGAATTTTACTCATTGGCTTTAGATTTTATTATCTTCAAATCGTTCAATGGAGTATTGGCAGAGATTGAGTTATCGTTATTCATTGGGTTTCCATAGTCTCTGGGCTTGGGAGGATATGGGTCAACATTATTTAAGAAGCAAGACAACTTTCCATAAAATGACCTGTGTGGTTGATTCTGCTCAGGCAAGTCCTCTCTTGGAATCATTGGTGGGTCTTCAAAGTTAAGCTGTCTTTTAAAGAACTGCTTCCAGCTTTCACGGGGATCCACGACTAAGTCTTTATTCAGCCATTCTTCTTATTGCTCTATAGAAAAATTAGGATAATCTGCTTAATTTCATTATAAAATTTGAGTTATTTGAATTCTAACTTACTTTTGATAAGGTCAAAGAAACGCTTGTACTCTACATTCTCTCTATCCTCTGCTAGAAAAGTCAGAAACATCTCAATGTCGTATTTCTAGAAGAGTTAATTTTCATATATCTCCTTCTCACGAGGTAATAAGCCGCGTCTTCTAAGTGATAGAGCAGCATCGTAATTCATTCTGATGATTGCAATGTCCAATGCATTCCAGCCATGATTGTCCTCTAGGGTTAGATCAGCTCCGTTGTCTAGTAAGAATTCACACATCTTAGGGTTGTTTCTAAAAGCACCCCACATCAGTGGAGTTCTGCCATCTGAAGATCTTAGATTGATGTCTGCTCCGTATTTTAAAAGCAAAGAACAGAGCTTTGGATAGCCTAGATAGGCTGCTCTGCATATTGGATTGGTCGTCTCCTCTACTAGCGAAGTATTCACAAAATCTGGGTATTTCTACAGCAACATATTATAGTAATTCAACCATCATCAAATGAATTAATTACCTTTAGGAAATTTGCGACATCTCCCTCTTTATTAGCTACAATAGCAAACAAAAACTGTTCCTTGAGTTTGGCTTCTTTAGCTCCCATAACTTATCAGTCACTAATAATATATTACTGTTTATTTAAATATTTTGATTAATTCTATAAATAACAATTTCACCTGGTTTGCAAATTTTAAAATAACGGGGTTTTGGGGTTTTGGGGTTTTGGGG